AAACGCGACCGGGTATCCACTTCCTGTTGCTGGATGTCGTATAATGAGCGTGAAAAGGTGATATCCATGTTGATTTAATCCGTGTCTACCATCTAAGCACACCACTCTTGCAAATTTTATTAATTCTTTTTGCTTTTCTGTTTGAAAAGCAAACATAAACCCTTTATTTTCATCACCACTATTATTAAACAAGCAATATCCACCCGCACAATTTAGTTTTTCTTGCCACTTTATTAAAGATCTTAATTCATCATTATCAAGGTAGGCACATGATTTTAATGTATTATGCACAATAGTATAAATATCATCTCTTGTTACTAGGCCATCACGTAATGATTGAATATTTTGAGATTCTGTTCCTTGCTCCAAAAGTTGCACATGATCTTGAAGTTCAATTCCCTGGTGCCGCAAAAGCTGTTGAATACTATGAGTATCAAGTCCCTCTAAAGCGTGTTGTCTAATGAAATGGTGTATATTATCGGATAGAGGAAGTGTGCATAAATCCAATAGACGGCCAGGTTGATGGTTATTATGCTTATAATAGTATTGCAGAATTACCATTGTTGAATCAACTGGAAGCATTACTTTAATATAACTTTTGCATCCACATTTTTTAGATTCTTTTTGTGCAAGCCGTGACTTTTTGCTAGAATCTTTCCCTGCAACACTATTATAAGCTCCATAACGATGGCAGAGCCATCGTTCTGTCCACCTATATTTTTTTCTAGAGCCACCTTCTTTTGCTTTATGTTCATGTCTAATATAACTAAGCCCTGCCTTCTCAAGATTTTTTATCCATTCTTCATAGCTATCTGCAGATAAACGAAATGTTTTGGATTTCTCTGTATTATGCGAATCCTGTGGGGTTTCGTCATCATCTTGCATTTCCCACATTTCTCCAACACCGTCTGTTGCATCCATAATTCTATCAAGAGCATTTTCAATCTCATTGTCACTAATATCCATGTTGGATTCGTCATCAATATCAAAGATCACGTTGATATCGATTGGCAATAATCTACCAGGTTCATTGTTATTAAGCATTGCTTCGTTTAATAATGATGACATTTGAAGAATTAAGATTAATAAAAAATTTTTGAAAACGAATTAATTTTAAGGTTGAAAAGATAAGATTTATTATTCTTATAATAAGAACTCTTTGATTTGTGTTAATTCGAAGGAAATCTAATACTACAATTACTTCTTTTTATAATTTTTTAGAAAGAAAAACTTTCAATATATCTACCAGTCTGGGCTATTCTTTCATTTTGGAATTTTGGCATGCATGGCAATAATTTCAATTTTATAATATTTATTCTGCATTTATTAACTTTTTCTCTCACGAATTTAGCACATATTTTTGTAGAACGATTCGAATTTGGCATATATACAATTTTTCTTCACGAATTCAGCTTGTGTTCATTTATTATATGGGCTTAGAACTGCGATTAGAGATCTTAATTGGAATGCATGGCAGTAATTTATTTTATTATATTTTACATTATTATCTTTAATTTTCTTATGAATTCGACACGCATTTTACATAGAACGATTCAAATAACATACACACAAATTTTTCTCTCACTAATTTATCATGTATTCATTTTATTATATAGGCTTATAACTGCGCTTAGGGATTTTAATTGGCATGTATGACAGTAATTTCTATTTTACAATACTATCTTTAATTTTCTTTTACGAATTTGGCACGCATCTAGTAGAATGATTTTTCATGAGCTTGGCATGCATACAATTTTTCTTCACAAATTCAGTATGCACACAATTTTTCCCTCACGAATTCAGTATGTGTTTATTGTATGGGCTTCGAAATTTATTTTAGATTTTATTTTGGGGATAAGGGATGTAAAAATATTAATTTTACCAAATTATACAATGTAATAAATCAAATTTTATTAATTAAATATAAAATTAATGAATTTACAATTAACATTATCTAAATATACAATTAATTTTATGCATTAGACAGTATATATACACTAATTAAATGCTACAAAATAAACACATATTGATACTAATGAAAAATTCAAAAATTTTGTGCATACAGTATGCAAATTAATTGAATTTATTAATTAATAAATTATATATTAGGACTAGTATTTAATTAATAATGTCATGAATGAGAAGTCACGAATTAAAAAATATCAAATGAATAAGAAAAAAATTCAAAAGTTGAACTTTATTAAGTCTACAGCGTATTACAGTATCAAGGCTATTACACTACGCTCTTGATTTGATATAGTGAAGATGAAGTAAATCCTTAATACACGGATCAAAGCTCATTACACTAATAAATTCTACTTGACATGCCCGGACCCTATATTAGATCAAGATTACTGAAAGTTACTGTGTATTAAATATTTTAGTCAAAATTATAGAATAAGTAATAAATGAAAACCTTCTAGGCTTAAACTTACGCATTCCGTAAAGCTTTAAAAAAAGATTATCAAACGAACATTGTTTTGTATAAAAAAAAAACAAAAAACAAAAAATTTAGAAGGGAAGTATGCAAGTCTATGCCAATATGAATTATAAGGTACTTACTAAAGGTCAAAATGGCAGTGTACGTACGCAAGATATTCACAAATATCTTTAAAATTAGCCAATAGAACGATAAGTCGAAGGTGAAGTATTCGGAAAGTCGGAAAGGCATGACGTCGACGATCTTGTCCAATCAGGGTGAGATTTACCTGCGGCCAATAAAAACGGCAGAAAAGTGAGGCGTAAATTAGTATATGCGTCAACTAGTTGGTTTTTCAACTAACGATTTGGATCACTAATTTAATATTTTAAAATTTTACTCCATTCAAAAAAAATTGATAATAATTATCAAATTTTACCAAAAAATTTAGGTAATATATACTTACATGTTGTTTAAAAATAACGCGTTATACTAGTTACTCATTAGCATTTTTTTACAGTTTCAGATTGCTGTCGTCGTTACCGGATCCTTCGTTTGGAGTCGATGTCGTCGTTACCAAAGCCATTGTTTGTGTTGGTGTCGTAGTTTCGGCTTCGTCGTTGGTACCGTTGTTAGTAGGAATTTGTATCATTATCAGGTACGTAGTATAGGTGTTGCTTCTTCTGTGCTGGTATTGCCGGCTTTATCTGGTTAAGCTGTTTTTGGTATTCTTAATTGTTGCTAACGCGTCAATTATATGACAATGTTGGACGATGTTGAACTAGTGTTCCAAGCCGATTAAGTTAGCACCCTAACCCTAATTAAACTCGGTTTTGAAATTTTGATCTGACATAAATTTCAATTTAACGTATATATATACTTTTTAATTTGATGAATTACGTACAATATTTACTAGATATAGACATCCTATGATTCAGTATAACATAAATTATTGGCTAAGCCGCTAAGCCATTAAAAATATAATGGCTTAGCCTAGCCGTAAAAATTTAATCGGCTTGGATCACTATGTTGTGTTTGGTATTTAGGGTGTATGTTTTTATCTTGCTTTTTGATTCATAAATTTATTATTGATGTTTCTTTTTTTCTAGGATTGCTAGGAAACTGTTAGGTGTATGTCTTGGGAAGTATGATTTTGTAGATTCGTTGCTCTTGTTTTTTCTTGCTTGTGAATGCGTTATTAACGATTCTTTTTGTTATAGGTTTTGGGCGTTTCCGAACTTTTTGGGATTTATAGAGCATATGACTTGTGAATCTGGAACGTATGGTTTTATTTTTCGTTGTTGCTTTTGTTTTGTGAACACGTTACTAACGAATTCTTTTTTAGGTATTTTCGGAATATTTCAGGAAATGTTGTTCTTGGATTTTCTGCTTTGGCTTGTAAACGTGTTTAGCTAGCGATTTTTTTTCAGGTGTTGAATAAGCTTTTTCGGATTGTGTTGTTATTCCTTGTGGTTCTTTGGATAAGTTAGGTCGTATGTTTTCTTCTTTTCTTTGTGTTGATTTTGTTTTCCTTTTTTTTTTCTGCTTTTACTACTATTTTTTTCTTTTGGATTGTCACTTATCACTTTTCTGGTGTATTATGCTCTCGTCATTGGCATCATCATAACACTTTTGTCATTAATGTCGTCGTTATTAGAGGGTGAATTATTTTTGTCGTTGGCATCATCGTTATTGGGATTTTATCACTCTCGGTACTATTCATTCTTTTGGTGGTGTTCATTCGCTGTTAGAACTTTGGTTTCATTTTCTGGGTCATGGTTTCCTTTATGATAGTAGGGTTAGGGTGAGTTAGTTAATAGAGACGATGCATAACTCGTCTTCTAGCAAAGTTCTTCTGCTAGGATTTGATTAGGTAAAATAGAAGTTCGCAGGCCGAAGGTCTGCGAACGTATGTATAGGCATTAATTATATACGATATACGAATTGAATATGTGTATTAAATAAATCAATCAATCAATTTTATTATAAACTTTTATTTTTAATAATAAATTAAAAAAGTAATACTATGTAATCATGGCGATCACGTAATTAGGGTGCACTACGCAGAGACCGTAAAAATTTTTTGTGTTATACGAAATCTTTATTTGCATTATTGCAAAAATTTGTATTAATTTGCAATAAGATATTAGCTTTATATTAATTTGCGATTTCTTTCAATCTTTGTCGGAAAACAACGAAAATTTATTCAAAATTTTGTTCCGATCTTGCTCGTCTTTTATGTTCATTCATTTTCTCTTTCGGAAATTTTCGGAATCTTAATTCAGCATATTATCCGACGTTATAACCAATCAAATTTATAAAATATCATGTGAATTTTACCCTTAAAAATTTGTTTTAATTTGCATAATCAATTTAAATTTGCATTAATTTGTATTAATTTATACACAAATTTTTACGGGTCTCTGGCACCACGGTGCAGGTGCACCATTTTTTAAAACCCTAAATTAAAACCATATAAACAAGATTAGAACCAAAATGAAACATTTTTCTGTAAAAACTATAAATTAACACGTTCAATAAAACCAATAAAATCAAACTTACCCTATGCTCTAGATAATGCCTATGATTTCTCTTTTGATGAATCTTTTTCTGCTAATTCCAATTCAATACGTTCCTTTGCTCGAACTACTTTTGACTGCAAATAAAAAGATCCTCCAGCAGAAGTATCATTTACTTTGAATAAATGTTCGTAATTCTTGAAAGTAAGAGAATATTGATATTTTTGCATTAAAAAATATATATAAATATATATATATATATGTAAATATTTATAAAATACCCTCGTAACTTGCTCGGGATTTAAATCATTTTTCTTAATATTTAAGATCTGACATGCTTCTTCCATCGTCATTCCTGTCTGTCTCGACAAAGCATCAGCTCCTCTAAATGCTGAACCGCCATTTTTTCCGGCGTCTAGTTATAAATATTAATGAATGGATTGCACATTTGCTTATGTATAACTTTTTTTCTTAAAAAAAAAAAAAGGACGAACTTGCAGAAGCTTGTTTAAACGCTTCAATAAATGCTTTCCCTACGATTTGTGTGCCTACAAGAATAATCTGTGCTATTACTCTCCCCGACTAATTGTAAATTTTAAAGTTTGTAAGCCATAAAAGTAAGGATCTAACTGAAGTAGTGAAGAACCTCAAACCAACCATTTTGCGATACGGAAACAAAATCTTAAATTTTATTCTTATGGTGCGCCAAGTCACTTCTCATCAAAAATCATGTTTATTTTAAAAAATCTATAAAATCTTAAGTTTTAAATATTTTTTAAAAATGTAACCGATAAAACCTATTGTTTTTTATTAGTACTATCCAAATTAGAAAGTTTACGATTTAAAGTTTTAAATGTTTAAAGCTATTATGCTTTCAAAATTTTGGCGTTTAATATAAAAAATTTTAAAATTTTTTTTTAAATTTTTTTTATATCCAATCATAATTGTGTATAACACATTCTGATTGGCTAAATAGTATTTATATGTACACCAAATTTGGCGCATTTGATGTGAAGTGACTTGGTGCACCATATTCGTTTTAATGGGGATATTTTCTTTTGTATTTGAGTTTTTAGTAGTTTTCCCCTTTGGATTTGTCTTGCAGTGATAGACTCTTTGTCTATTAAAATTTCTTAATATTCTTTCATAGTTAGGGGTGTTAATTTTTCTTTTTCATTTTCCAAATCTACTTCAGCTAGTACTTGTGTAAATACTTTTCTTGGATTTATTATTTTATTCTGGTGTATTGTTTTTATTCAATTTATTTGTTCTAACAAGAGATAATCTTCAGTTCTTTTAAATATGTAAAAAAGGTTTTGTTGTATTATTGGTACTATTGCTTGTGTCATGATTCTATTTGGTAGGCTATATGGGTCTTGTTTATCAAGGTATACTAATAGTTCTGGATTTGAGTATATTCCTGAGTTGTTTTGTCACTGGTCCTTTGGGTTTCAAAATTTCTTAGATTGGTATAATTCTTGGTTTGATAGTTCTTCAAGATAACATTCTTGTTTCCAAATCTTTGTATAATAGTTTTTAAAAATTTTCCAAGTTTGTCCTTCAGGTTTTCAATATTTTTTACTTATACTTATTTCAGTTCTTTTCTTATAGACTTGTTCTAAATATTTTTTATAACTTTCTTGTTTGAACGGTCTTTCAAATTCTTTATTTTATTTTGCTACAAATGGTTTAATGGTTTGGTTATATTTCTAATTGATTATTTTTTGTATATTTCTTATTTCTGATATAATCTAGAAGTAGTCATTATTTTCATATACAGTTAGGTTTTCTGTTCTAATATTATACTTGTGTATATTACTTCTTCAAGTTCTGATTCAAGATTGTGAATTAGTAGTTTAAGTAAGTTTGAAGATTGTTTAGTAGTTAGGGGTTTAGTTTATTTGTTGTTCTGTATTGTGTAGTTTGCTATTAAAACAGTAGTATTTTTCAAATAATAATACTAGATTTGGGTATTTCCAATACATTATTTAATTTTTTCAATATTTTTTGTGTTTAGTTTTGATTTCTTTAAGTGTTTCCTTATCAAATTCTTTTTCTATAGAGAATCCAATTATTATATGATAGATTTTTCTACTTGTGTAGTAAGTTCTTGTTAAAAAGTCTGTTTTTGGTTTTCTTCATTCTGTTGTTTGGTATATACCTATGATATTTTAAAAAATTTATGTCTTTAAACTAGACACCTGAGTCACTTAAAGAGTGTTAGAGATATTTGATATTTTATTATATAGTAGTTGTGATTAGACTCTATAGCTATTATAGGCAATGCAAAAATCTCATTTTTGGTAATTTAGCTTTGCAACTATGATAGCAGTACAAGGATCTTATATTGTTATTAGGTTCTGTGGCTGCAATAGCAATGTAAGAAATTCAAGTTGTGATTAGTCTCTATAGCTGTCACAGGCAGTACAGAAACCTTGCTACATGTTGTAGTTAGGCTTCATAGCTGTGATAGCAGAAATTAATCAAAATTCAATTAAATAAAACAAACAATATATTTTTATTCTTACTAAATATGCTAAATATATTGCATAATTTAAAAAAAATTTGAAACAAAAAAAAGCTTTTATATAATTTACTCTAACAATACCTTATTAAAAAAACAAAATAATAATAATCTTTTTCTGCTAAATTATATATAATATTGTCCATGCATATTTTATTTCAATTTTGTTATTTACAAATTGAAAATATGGAAACCTATAAAGCACAGAACAATTGATGAAGTACAAGACAAAAAGTTTTATTTAAAAAGATTTTACAAACACATATATGTACAATAAGTAAATGCAGATCTATCTGATAGAATTTAAATAGTTCTAATCACTATAGCTAATTACTTGATAATAACTGGCAAGATATGCTATAAAAAAAAATATTTAAATATTATAAGGTTTAACTAATAAGATACATAAGTGATAAATATAAAGTTCTATTGTACATATATTTTTAGCATGTAAATTCAAAATAAAGTTTCATAACAATGTATATGTTGAATTATTGATAGTTTAACTTATTGAATTTCTATAAATACAATAAATTTTTATATAAAAATCCTTTCTACTTTAGTCTCAAACAAAATATGGCAGATTATGAGTAAGACTGCAGCCAATTAAAAAGATGCCTAACACCAATCATAAACTTTATTAGAAATAATCTGCTGCAAATTGAAATTTATTAGGAAAAATTTAATTTATTTATATTTAGTTTGATTTTAAAAATCAGTAAAATTATAATTATATCATTTTCATAGCTTTATATTGCTGTAATAATAATATAATCATACTTAAAGGTTTAATTAAATGAATAAGTAAGCATAAAATATACAGAAGAAAAAAAAAATGAAATTGTATAGATAAATATTTATTTTTATTGAAAAATTTACTACAAAATAGAATCCTTTTATTTATTAATATGAAGTTTTTTTTGCACAAAAGTAATCTAAAAAATGAATACTATATTTTTGCATAATAACGCATATCTGCATGTTATTTTGAGTCTATTGCATTATTTCAGGATGCACATGAGCAATATTTTGAGTTACATATGCTATTTTCAAAAAAAAATTTTCAAAATAACACCCATGTGTATTATACCAATAGTAATAATATAATATAAAGTTCTTTTTAACTATATTAATATTTGAATCACTTTTTCAATATATATATAATTAAAATTACTATTTTTGTTTCTCACATTATTATATAAAAAATCCTGTTTTGCACCTCTATTCTATAATCCTACTAACTATTCATATCCTGGTGATCAGCTTGTATGAAATTCAAGTTTGTTATCTCTAATCTCTAGTATCATAATTGTCCAACTAATGAAACAGGTTTATATAGCTAATATTGATATATTTGAAAGAGTAATTGTAATTACGCCAAAAGAAAAACAATAGTAGTAAACAAATGAAATACAGTAAGCAATCTGGAAATAGCTTATATGCTTGATCAAAAAGCATTGCACGTATGTGATATGTTACTAATTTGGAAGCATCTAGCCAATAGTGTTAGACATAAAACTTTATTGATTAATTTTTTATTGAAATATGCAGCATACATCAGTACAATTGAAGTATAAACTAAGATGGGATATGGTCCCAGAAATAGCAACTATAATTGCGCCAGGTATTACTATTTTTAGTTGAATTTGCAATATATAGCATCAGCCAGTAGTCTCCCATATTGCATAAAGCAGGCCGACATTGAATGAAGTTACAAGTTGCTACAAAATGGCAGGATTTCAGATAGATTTACTCAATTTATGTGGACAGGGAGGATTGGGTGCGAATTGGTCTCTTGTGGATAATAGATACTAGTTGGGTAGTTTGTCATGGCATGCTTGTTCTTATACTTGCCAAATTAAGCAGTTAATTAAATTGTACTTATCTGGTTTATATGTTCATTCATGTAGTATCAGATTATTTGCATGTTAATTAGGTTCGATGGCTGCAGTCAAAATTCTAACTGGATTGCTTACGACATGTCCTTACTTAGCCATATTTTTGATTTGTTGACTTTTTGTCAACTTGAAATAAAAAAAATAAAGCATATTAAATGAATTCCTAGAATATTGTATGTACAGTATTGAAAATTCTTACAATAAATGATTTTAATGTTTTCATGAGAACTATTTTCTAAAAAATAATATTTTCATAAAAAATTATTATATCAAACTTAGTTTAAAACTATTTACATGCCTCAGGATCCTGGGCAAATACCTTATAGTTGCTAAACATAAAGCTCATCTTTCACATTCTATTCTCAATAGTACAATGCTCAATCACAACATCTACAATATACACAATATTTGGAATATTCAGCTCCAACACCATGCTAGCAACTTTCTTCTTAGAATTAACAATGACTCAACTTTAGGCATTACTACACGTATTAGACTTTAGCAACTACAAAACAACCTATAGTCTACTATTAGCATACTTCAGCATTCCCAACCTACTATTGACAGACCTAATAGACATACTACTACCTACAAAATAATCCAGCTTATACAACAGGCTGATATAAGCATGACAGTCAATATTAACAGAGCATGGCTACAAACTATCCAGGATAGTAACACCCTCTTGAGCCTATACTAGTTAAAAGTAACAAATATAGTACATTTAAACAACAGCTTAGAAACAAGCGTATTCTTTATCTAGAGCAATTATGTTCTGCTAACAATGAACATTTACTAGAATGGCAACACATCTCACC